GGGAGGAAGGAAGAGATACCCTTTTCTATAGGAAATAACTCGCGCACTGATGTCTCCCTCAGTCATTTGCATATGAAAAATAAAACCTTTGCAGCGGAAAATTATTTCTTGACTTGATGAGCGAGAATCTCTAAGATGGCTTCCATAATCCATAGACTGAATCAGTTGAACACTCTGCTTCACACATTGCCTCGGATAAAGTCAAAATCAGTAATACTCTCTACTCAAGCGAGAAATGGACTTTTTAGCAACTCACACACAGACCTCTTATGTATTGACAATTCTGAAAACTAATTATGTAGATCACATTCCTACTCGGCTCATTTACATTTTTTCGCTTTCTGCGAATGGAAGTATCGATCAGGCAAGTGGCATACTGCCGTGCTAAGGAAAAACGCCGTATGAACATTCGAGAGTTGCCAAATTTCCCTTGACAAAACATGTATTTTGGAAGACATTCATGCACATTTTTCTTGGAAATTTTCAGATATTTTAGATTAAATTGGGTACGAAATTGTCCGAAATTTTGGGAAAAAATATTCACAATTTTCCCAGCAAAGTCGGTTTTTATCGAAGGAAATTTGGCAACGTCTGATGGCTCATACGGCGTTCTTCCTTCGCACGGCAGCATAGTATAACCAGATTAGTCCATGAGTATTGTATGTTCGCCTGTCGAAGTTCAGAGTGTCCTAGAGTAGAACTGTAGACTGAAGAGGCATGTTCATCATGATGTTCATGTCAAATAACCAAAAAGATAATATGCGGAGTGATATCCGACTCTAGGAACGGAAAATATACCCCGAAAATAAAAATATACCCGTGAGAGTACCATAGGAAAAGAATGAACACCGCTCTGCATTCATAACATTCGGTTGTTTAACATGGGGGTCAGTGGCAAGGCGTGAATGATCGATTATCGATCTCTCGCCATTTGAAGCTATGGTAAAGAATCGATCATTAAGGTGTTAGCTGCGGACACCCTGTTAATCGATCCTTTGCCGTAGGTTTAAATGGCAGATCAATCGATATATCGCAAAGCACGCCACGCCACTGCGTGAGCTTCACTCCGGATTTCACTCCTAGATTTTAAGAGTGTGCGAATTACGTGGATGCTTCCTAAAACTGATTATTTTCTAAAACACTGGATGTACTCATACTGCCATGTGCTACCTGAGTGTTTAGAGAGGGAAAACATTTAATTTGCTAAAAAAGTTTAAGCTCTCTCCAGGAGTCCACATGAGCACGAGACAGAGCGACAGTAAATCCAAAATTTTCATGGTGGTGCTTCGCCTACAGTCGATTTGTTACGCTTGTTTTCCTGGTGTTTAGTGTCCCAAGCGTGAGGAAAAACTTGCATGACCTTAAAATTATGTTTCTCCTCAACTGACACGCACAAACGCTTTAATATTGTGTTGGCGTAAATTCAGCTCCAAAAATATACCGTATAGAATTCAATGGAACCTGTAGACGTGCGAAATTGAGGAGTTATTCTGGAACGAAACATTACACGCTGTGAAAAATCGATGGTGTGACTGTCAAAAGCACATATTTCGATTTTCCCCACTCCAATCTCCACTTATACTTTCAAAAAACGGATACCAACTATTTCACCAAATTAAAAACATTGTCTCTATAACAAAGGCGGTGGCGCTGGTCATTGAATCTTTTGAAGAAGATATTGGTCTCTTATTGGTCCACTGACCGCCGAACAAGAAACTGACGCGATTGTAGCAACACTCTTTAAAAGATCGAAGATTCGATGCTCCTATGATTGCAACACTGACATACATTGAAAATACTGATGTAGAGATTGATAGCATGACCCAGGTTTTATAATTGGACTGCATTATGCACTTCGGAACTACTGTTTCCGGCTCATTTCAAAAACAGGGCCGGATTAAGGGGGTGGCCACATGGCGGCAAATCAAGGGGGTGGCAAATTTTGCATTTTTTTTTTTTAAAAAAAATCGGATTTTGACAAAAAATTGCAAACGAGAAAAGGCGACAAAATCTCTCATTTCCTGAGAGTATAGTAATTTCTAATTTTGTCGTCTTTCAGTGATACAAGAAATAGCACCTTTAATTAGTCGAGTTAAGAGAGAAACCAAACACGCAATTTGGCCTGGAACGGCGCGGCGCAGAGAGCAATGATGACGCAGAATTGAGATGAAAAGGAGAAGCCCTCGGCGCGTCGGTCGGCGTGTAATACATATTAGCGTCTACAAGACTGCACGAATACTTCACGCATTGCATCAAATACAGTGCGGTCACTGTGGTCAGCGTGAAACGGATAGCGCCTACAAGAATGCATGAATACTTCACGCATTGCGCCAAGGACAGTGCGATCAGCGTGAAACGCTCAGCGCCTACGAGACTGCGTGAATACTTCACGCAGTGCGCCAAACACAGTGCAGTCTGCGCGACCCGGCGGCGGAAGTTTAAATCATTAAACTACATTTATGTTTGTCCTCTTATAATTTGTTCGTTCATTTCTTATGAGTGGAAGGCCTTGTCCACACAGAGATGGGTTTACGGAACTTAACTTTCGCGCAAAGTTCCGTGAACTTTTGCTAGTAGTGTTAGCAGGGCTTTCCCAAAAAATGTGTCCAACACGAGTAAACGCGTCTCATGCACCCGCTGGCACGTTCACTTGATGGTTTTTATTGATCTTTCAAAACGAATGAGAAGGGGGCGGCAAAGTACAGGCGGCCCATGGGCGGCAAGTAGGTAAATCCGGCCCTGTTCAGAAACAGCACATGTGTCAATAGTTTCACTTTACAGATGAGTGTTTTTATGGAAAAGCAAGAAATAGTAGTTTCTAATTGCAAAATATAGTCCTCTCATCAATCGATCCATCCTGAAAAGTTTACAGACAGAAGATTAATTATATTGGGTACGGTTAAACCGCGCTGCGAGAAACTGAACATTTGCGACAGCGAAATTTAAGTTCTTCCGCAGGAAAATAAATTAAGGAAATAAGGTCACTTCACCGCCTTCAAAAGAGCGGAAGAATATAAAAAATAGTAAATATACATACAATAAAATTTTTAAAAATCATAATTCATCGCGGGCAGTACAAATGACAGGTTCAAATTTTGCATTCAAAAACTCACAGCTATTTACTTCGGGCTGTACAATGGCGCACGCGTTTTGTACACGGCAAATCCATTCAATTTAAGATGAAGCAAAACTACAACCTCGAAGGGAAACTTAACCTTCTATTTCGTGTCAAATCCTGAATAATGTCTTCTCTTTCCTTCATTTCTTTCTTCTTAGCTGTTTTGATCGATGAAGTTACTTATTCCTCCCCATCCGAATGACTGAGCAGGCATTGGCTCACTTATGCGTGAGTCTCATGAAATTCGGCAAGAAAAATCGTAACTCCTCTCCCCTCTGAACAGGGATTTACGAGGAGCTTGGCAGCCCTGTAAAAGCTCCTCGTTGAAACTGAGTGTAAAAGATCAAACGATTAGCAGGGGAATGACATTCCTATCCAAAGCTGCCGCATTCCGTAAAATATCGGTCATTCTGAATTGTTCCTCGTGTGGAATCGGGGCAAATTTTCTGTAGATTGGCAACGTTGCTTCTAAGTTGGGAGCAATGCATTGCGGAAATACGGAGCGCCATTCCATTCATCTGTTTAAATTGACTCAATGAGCATGCTCGGCGCAGAGAGGGGGTGTCGGTGTCATAATGTGTAAACAATTGCAGAGAGATGGGCATATTATCATACTGTAAATATAGTGCCTGTGAAAACTAACCCACATCCAAGAATTTATTATTATTAGTATGCGCATTCTACGGATCGTTATAAATAAGATACATAAATATGCTTCGGTGATACCTCATCATTTGAAGCATCGGTAAACGAAGCTGCTCTTCGGGCTTTTATAAATGGGACAGCCTATACTGACTTATACAGTCGTGACGTTACTTTGATTTATTGGACCTTTTTTTCCGATTGGACGGATTTAGCGAAACTTAGCTTAACTACATTCGCTATGCTGCCGTTCAGAGGAAAAACGCCGTAAGAACATTCGAGAGTTATGCCAATTTTCCTCCTGGTGAATAGTTATTTATGAAAAAGTTATTGATATTTTTCCTCAAAATTTTCAGCAATTTTAGGTCAAAATCCGAATTAAGTCCTCTTAAAAATCGGTAGAAAAATGTTGACACATTTTCACGAAAATTCCATATTAGTCGAAAGGAATTTGGTAATGTCTGAGGGCTCATACGGTGTTCTGCCTTAGCACGAAAGTATGCTAAACCCCTTAAATATTTCTTCTTCTTCGCAAAACTCTAAGCGCAAAAATTTCACTCAAAATTGTGAAAGTTGGTCTTCTTCTTTCAGTGAAAATTCGAAGAGAGTTCAAAAGCGTTATCTCCTTCAGTCCTCTGTTCACAAAATACAACTCGAGAGTATTTTAGGAGATGTGGAATGTACTTGAGCTGATTTTGGTTCATGCCGTTCAATTAAAGGACCCGTCCACGTATTTCAAAATGCACGTTACTGATTTACCCCTCCCCCCTCCCTCGGTTGGCAGACCACTACCCTCTCTCACACTCCTTTTGATGCATTTATAACGCTGCACTGGACCCCAGAGGCGGATTATGAAATTTGGCAACACCAGATTGCCTCCATTGAAACCTATGCTAAATAATCGATTCTCGTCGGGGCACCTGGCCCCTCCAAGAATCGATACATCTCCGTAGGTTTAAATGGAGAAAAGGCGATGTTGCCAATTTGCTGGATCCGCCAATGCTAGACCCCCGCCCTCGGCGCTTTACGTAATTTATGAACGGCCCCCTCAGAGAGTCCTTTCTTGGGAAGGTATAGAAAAAAAATGACGACTTTGGATGTTCACATCTTTTTTGCGAGCATTGTAATTACTTGCTTCAGTGTTCAATTCATTTTATATATAAAGCTGAGCAATTTTTTTTATGCTTTCTTCCTCGGAATAAATGATGACTTAGCTCCGATTCTTTTCTTTCTCAAATAATGATTTGATAACAGTCGCGAAGAAGGTATCTGTAATTGAAATTCAAACATTCCGACACATTTTAAACGAGACTTCACAAGGTCAATTCTTTATTTTCACCGTTGAAAGAAGGCGTGGCGAAGAAATTGTGAATTTTTTTGTGGTTCGTTTCGGACTCGGGACTAGTTTATCAAGAAGATAGCCGTTTAATGCTCATCCATCAGTCAGTGCGTGCGGAGAAGAGGTGTTTTTCATCCAGTGAAAGCGTTTCACTGAAAATAACTCTCGGATTATTTCCTAGCATCTACTGATACTCCTGGTAAGCAAGACTTTATCGTTACCGTGGTTGCAGGACTTATTTTTCGCACTACGTTTTCGAAACTTTTCATTTATGAGCTATGTATCGGAACGAAGGCTACAAATTCACATCTTGAGCTAAAAGCCCCGTATAAAAGCACCTAAAGCTCCTCGTCGTGGAATCGAGAAAACGTTAAATGAAATATCTAACATCGAAAACGACCCGACTCAGAAAAAATAAAGAAAATCCCGATTCAATTCAGATAGGTGTCTTTTCGTAGGGTCCTTCCCATTTTATTAGTTATTAATTTATGGATCTTATTTCGTGCTCTGTTTTTCTTCAATTTTCTACCGAAAAGATAGGCACGAATCCGTGTTACTTTTGAAAAGAGCCCGACTTTAAGGTTTGCAACTTTTACATTTTACACGTATTTTTGGCTGGGAGATTATGTTTGGGAAAAGATTAAAACCACTTTCCGTCGAAGGAGAATTTTCGCCTACATTCAGTTTTTTCCAGAAATGGGTATTTTCCCAAAAAATGCTACATTCAAATAGTTTGAGTACATTGCAGAATAAACTTTGCACTTCACGTTGTATCTTTTTAGAAGGATAAGTCCTTCCGCACAAAAATTAGTTAAAAGAGGGGCTGGAGACATTTCACGATATCCCATGTATACGTGCGAGAACGAAAAAAAGAGAGCAGTTTTTCAGTGTACTTACATACTTCGTGCGTTTATAAAGCTTTTTGATGATGGGACAACAAAATACCTTATCTAGATAGCAGTGCTTTGAAATTTCCGCCCTATTTTGTTCTTTAAAAGATCTATTAAACTTTTTGTTTTTAGAGAAAATTCTTGAAAGAGAAATAAATATATGAATGGATTTTGTGCATTGCCAATCATTACTTATTATTAATAAAGAAAGTACAGTTTGAATGCAGATCTGCAACATTGCGAACCGAGATACTTGGTTTCACATAGTTTCACCATTAATTAATTGCAGCATTGTTCAATCATTACCAATTTATTTCTTTCAAAATAATAAACGTATTTTCTTCAAAGCACATTTTTCAGTCGGTATAAAATAGCGTATATCTACAAGGAAGGATCTCTTAATTAACTCTTCACAAATTTTTTAGGTTTTGAATAAATTTGCACGGGAAAGCTGGGAACATGAGCAAACAACAACGATTGCCAAAAGATTTCACCAAGTTGATATTCCAGTCGATATGGTTTTTAATGGCAATGATACCGATGATACTTTGGGCTTTGATTAAAGAGATGCTACCTTCCAAGAAGAAATCACTGAAAAATGAGGTTATTTTGGTGAGTGATTCCTTTATTATTGTTAAAAGTTACTGCTATGTACCGAGGTGTTAAATACGATTAAAAAATTCCGGCAAACGCTTTGATATCCTCCACGAACATGAAAGCCGATACTGTCTGGTGCCATTAAAAGTTTTAATTTTTTACATTTTAAATGAAGGACCACTCATGATGTCCACAAGCTGAACATTTTAATGGGATTTCTTTGAAATGTCATGCACGAATTTCAAAGAAATCCCTTCATGCCGCGAATGATAATTTCAACATCACGATGACATTTAATTTTTACTGGGGACGGGTGTCCTCCAAATTTTGCAACCCTGCTATAACATAGTGTCCCTTCATAAGGAAAGTTAAGACAAGTCGGTTCATAGATGTCACAAACGGGAATAAAGATTTCATAGTTTGACCGTTTTTCGTAGTATTTGATAAACTCTTCTCTGTTCCCTCTCTCATTCCATTTAACCCCTGAAGTGCCCCAAAATCCCCGGTCCAGCCCAGTTTATAATTTTTGCAATAGAGAATTTGCAGGTGTCTGAAATTTAATGGATTTCGTGTTTAAGTGGAAACTACTGAGTGAACTGAACACGAGCATATCCTTGGTTCATGAACTGAACGATTTATTATTGGAGAATATATGACAAAATGACCTAATCTGCTAAAATACAAGTGTTCAAATGTAAAATGCCGCCAGATGACGTCACTAGGTGGTGCATTTTCTCTCTTTTAAATCTATTTCTAAAATATTTCCCACATCAGAGAAAAATTAGAAAAAAATACTGTGAAATCAGCTCTTTAAGGTGATTCGATGGACGCCATATTTTGTGTCAGAACGGCATGCGATATATCGCATAAATTGGTTCCATTTTTCAGCTACTCATCATTTTTCTCCAATTTTGAGATCGTGATTCTGTTGTCAGGAGACTAAAGCACTCACTCACCAATTTTAACAAAGAAATTCAACGTAATAGAGGCGTGGTTTTTTTAGAGAGAAAATATCGCATTCGAATGCAGTTTCGATATCAGTATCGAATGCGACGTTTTCTCTCTAAAAAAAAACCACGCCTTTATTACGTTGAATTTCATTATTAAAATTGGCAAGTGAGTGCTTTAGTCTCCTGATAACAGAATCACGATCTCAAAATTGGAGAAAAATGCGATGAGTAGCTGAAAAAATGGAACCAATTTATGCGATATATCGCATGCCGTTCTGACACAAAATATGGCGCCCATCGAATCGCCTTAAGCACTTTCAGATGAAGCAATAAACAATTTGCATTCAAATTCTCCATTAATGAAAATGTAACATAGAAGAGAGGGATCCTCCTCTATATGTAGCCTCTTAGCGACGCTTGGAAACTTTAACTTTCACTTTGGGGTTTGAGGGTATCTGTTTGTCTCTGAAATGTTATCTTCATTCCAAGGTAGATTTACACAGGTATGGACAGAACTAAACAACTGGCCTCTGATTGGCTCTCCAGAGGCCCCTTAACTTCCGCCATTTTGTATGTTTTGATTATTTTGATTTATTATGTTCAGTTTATCGTTCGTCAAAATTTGTGGGATTTTTTGCACAATTTTGATAATGCGATATTAATTTTAACGTTTACACGCACAAACGTTTGAATGTTAATTTGATTGTAATTTAATTAAAAAACGGGCCCCTTAACCTACGTCACGTAGTCATGTGACACGTACTGAGGCTCATGGGAAATTTTCAACTTGTCCATACCTGTGTAAATCTACCTTGTCTTCATTCCTATTCGTCTTCATGTCTTGTCTCTCCACGTTCCAATCCTCGATTTCCCGCTTGGTGCAGATTACGGGAGCCGGGACCGGTCTGGGAAGAGAGCTGGCCGAGCGGCTAGCGCCGACGGGCTGCCGACTGGCCCTCGTGGACATCAACGAGGCAGCCGTCAACGAGGTCGCAGACAGGATCAACCGGGAGCACCCCAAGACGGCCAAGGCCTACGCGACCAACCTGGGCGTCGGTGCCGAGATCGCCGCGCTGGCCCGGAGGGTCCTCGCCGATTTCGAGCGTGTCGATATCCTGGTCAACAACGCGGGCATCGTCATCGCCGGACCCCGGGTTTGGGAACTCGAGGACCGGGAGATAGACGGTATCTTCCAGGTCAACACCATCAGTCATTTCAAGGTAAGTCCTTACGCTTCGACTTTGGATTCTCCTGTCGCACTTAAGGTCTCGATTGACGATCAAATTCCCGAACCAATTCCGATCAAAGTAACATCAAAGTGTCGGGAGTCATTAGTCTTAAACTCATTAATTTGCTTCATTTTAAAATGAAAACTTGGCAGAAATGTTTCCTGTGGCAGGAAATGATGAATGGTGGCACTCCGTTCTGATCTTACTTTGAACAAAAAAGTGCGGCCCGTCAAAATTTGATGTTAGATGGTGACCACCAGTCATCAGCATGTCTACTTTGATCGGAATTTGTTCGGAATTCGATCGTCTATGCAGGGCTATAGGATCGAATCAATAGGAGAGATCGGATAAAATTTAGGAAGTTTAAACGCTTAAAACTCCGTGTATACTAAACTTTGAGGTTCTAATGGGGGTTCCATTGATTTCCTCATGAAATTCTCTTCTGGATGCACCCCTTAAAAAAATGTGACGAAATAAACATCAAAATTTGCAGTTTTAGACAAAAATATCATGTCCCACCTCTCTAGTTGACTCGAGCCACTGGGTGTCGATTTACCAAAAATAGCAGTATAACGACCAGATTTTCCAAAACCGGGGTTGCCATAATTTCTTCATTTTCAAATTCCCTATTTTTCCCTGGCTAAAAAATTTTCTGGTTCCCCGACTTTCCTTGACCTTCGAACAAAATTTTCAATTTTTTTGGAAGCAGAAGAAGAAAAAAACAAAACGCTGACTTTCGCTGGAATTTGGACATAATGTCCTTGTCCCGAAATCAAATTGAGAAAAAAAGGCATTATGATGCCAGTTAAAAGATGACAAGCCTTAAGAATGGCCGGAGAGCACTGAGAACAATTTTTCTTGAAATATTATTTTGACATGAGGCGTCGTTTCTTATCGACAAAATTTTGTTTTTTTAGTTCAATTCGTGCAGATTTAACTGAAAGACAGTTTTTCTGAGTTAAAAAAGCGTTTTTTTGGTTCGAAAAGTTTAAGTTTAAATAAATAACCAAACAACGTTTCTTTAACTAAAAATTAAAAAATAATCGACAAAAAACGCCACTTTAAGTCAAAATAGTATCTCAATGAAAAAATTCCCCTAATTTTCCTAAATTTCTAGACGGACGGCAACCGGCAACACTGAAATCCTTCAAAATTCTCCTGATCCTATTTAAGCAGTAAGAGAGCTAAACGGCAGTAAGTCCACATTATTCTTCACGTTATTTTTCTAAGACGCAAGTTCCACCAGTATCTTCAACTTTTTACCGCTTGGAGCTGGCTTGACTTCGAGGACCGAATAAAGGATTTCAGAATTCCTGGTCAAAATCAGTTTAGAAAAATGGATTCAGAAGAAACTCAAACTGACTGATCTGAAATTCAAAGGTGAAAAATAAACGATCTTCAACTGCAACATAGATTGCGGACAAATATTTATTGTGGCATAAGAGCTTCTTACCAGCAAAAATGGTGGGTATGCCAGCCAAAAGACAATTGTTTGCATTGTCTCCGTATCTGCTTCTTGGACGAATGCCGACGATGGTAGAATCGTACCTGCACAGATAAAAGGACGAATTAAGGACGTGAAAAAAGACAAAATACAATTGATAAGAATCTGTACTCCTCCGCAAGACTTTCTTGTCAACATTATGCCCCCCCCCCATCAAATTCGAGCCCTGAGAGCACACGCTAAGATCGCTAAGGAGTATGATGTATCATGCGGATTTTCTGGGCCTGAAGAAGTCCCCTTAAAAGATGATTCGTTGGAGGCCATTTTTTGTGTCAGAGCGACGTGCGATAAATCGCATCGATTTATTCCATAATTTCAGCTACTTGAAATTTTTTTCGAATTTTGAGATCGCACTTCTGTTGTCATGAGACTTAAGAACTCATGTACCAAATTTGACAAAGAAATTCAACGTAATAAAGGCGTGGTTTTTTCAGAGAGAAAACATCGCATTCGATACTGATATCAAAACTGCACTCGAATGCACTCTCTCTAAAAAAAACCACGCCTTCATTACGTTGAATTTCTTTGTTAAAATTGGTAAGTGAGTGCTTTGGTCTCCTGACAACAGAATTGCGATCTCAAAATTGGAGAAAAATGACGAGTAGCTGAAAAACTGGAACCAATTGATGCGATATATCGCATGCCGTTCTGACACAACACATGGCGTCCATCGAATCACCTTAAGTTCATTTTATAGCCGATTCAGGGTGTAGCTACTATACAATTCGGCAATTTAAACATACCAACTTTCTTACTTTCAGATGATCCGAGAATTCCTGCCCGGGATGCTGGAACGGAACCACGGACAAGTGGTCGCTATATCTTCGCTTGCGTCTCTCACTTCGGTTGAAAGGTCAGGTCCATACACAGCTTCCAAATGGGCTGTGACGGGTAAGTTTTTCCCCCCTTCAAGTTATCGATTAAAGGTGGAGTGATTTCGAATGAATAACTAGACGTGTCGGCACATCTATCGTCGATTTTCTAATAATTTAAAATGCGATTCAGTTGTTACTCTGTTTCAAACGCTTGAAGTTCATTACGCGCTGCAATTTCGATATCATAACTAAGCACGATACTTAATCGTTGAAAGAGAGTGTGAAAAAATCAAATTCAGCGGTAGTCAAAAACAACAACAAAAAGATATTTCAAACATAAGAATATCAAAATTTTACAAAGTTTTTTTAAAGACTTTAAAGATACGACAATATAAACCTAGAACAAAGTAACCCAAAATCAATTGTATTTGTTAGAATGGATAAATATCTTGTCTTATATGTAAGAGAGGATCGCGAAGCAAAAGCCGGGAAAATGTGGCATAATCACGACAGGAATAATATTTTGAGCTCAAAAATGTTTCATTCATAAAAAATTTGCCTCCAAATCTAATAGAGAACTTACTAGTCCGCATAAATGATTATCTCATTGTGGAGTTCGGCCTATTCTGAAGCACATATTTTCGGACTTCTCCTAGTACGGATTCTAACGATGATTTTTAGAATTAATGATACTGTGCTAAAAATTAGTATACCAAGAGAGAGTTACTTAGAATACTCAAGGAGAAAACTTGTTCCGAGTTTGACAGAAAGAAACCAAGTCACATTAAGATCGAGCTGAACATATATTCCTCCATCAGCGATAAAGTTCAGTTCAACACGTACTTCTACATTCATAATATGTTTTCTTAGCTTTAAATTTTTATTCAGGATAAATTATGGCTGGGTTGACTAAAATATTACTTATGACTCATTTTACATCCTAAAATGTGATTTGCTTCCTTTCTCTTTGATTCCTTCGATTCTGCCCTTGATTTCTCTTTGCTTCGCGGTCCATTTCGTTCAGTATGTTCGTAAAAAGGAGTAGGTTCTTTCCAAGCCCCTTAACTTATGTAGCCTCGAGTAAGATGATCGTTTTGAATTCATGTAGGTATGATGCATTCGTTACGCGATGATTTGCGAAGAATACCGAACAACAAAGTGGTGGTCACGAATATTTGTCCGTATTACATCTACTCCGGCACTGGCATTTCGACTTCAAACAATTGGGATCTTAGGTAAGCCTTCAGAAATGAATTTTGTCAGGTTTGCAATCGTCGAAACGAAAAATAACGGTTGGCGGATGGTACGACAATATCCACGGCATGTTAAAAAGTGCCACTGATAGATAATTAAAAACTTAAGCGACGAAATAATAAAGAGATCACTTTTCTTGTAGTAAATCGTACGACCAAAATTAAGGGTTAACTTTGGTATGATGGAACGGCAATATTATTTTAAATATCTCCTCACAGAAGACGCCAAAATTAAGATGGTGATATTACCCTCATAGGAATACCAATATGTATAAACTAGCCAGTTGATTTAGACCTTTATATCCCTTAATAAAGGTTGAATAGTTTTTGTTACGTGGCTTCAGGTCATCGTATTTAAGAACAAATACTCTTGATATACAAAAGAAATTAAGAGAGATCAAAATTTATTTTAAAAAAAATAAATAAAGAAAAATTTAATAAATATATACTACTAGGGGGCCCTGCCCCCTGGCCGCTACGCGGCCCAACCCCCAGAGGGCGCTTCGCGCTCTCGTAGGCTCGCTCCGACAAAAGAACGACTAAAAAATGAAAATATTTTCATATACTCGACTCTCATTTGTCCAATCTCCTTCTGGGCGGGAGTGATTGGACCAATAAGAATCGAATAAGAAATCGGCATTTATTTCAAACTTCACGCCAAGACTGAAACGAAACGGAACAAACGGAACGGATAGCTCTTGGATATAGTCTGTGGGAAATAAGCATATACCTTCAATTCGCTTACCTTACCTTACCCTACTAAAATTAGACAAAGATTCAACATTTCCCGCTTACAATTAGTTCAATTTTCCGCTATTTTTGAAATCCCCGCTATTTTTCATTGGCGGGAATTTCAAATTTTGCCCCCCCCCTAAACCCTCGGGTCTACTCTTATATAAAACAAACCTGGGTCCTATTTCCAAAATCTGATCACAGCGGGCTTATCTAGGACCTACCGCCTGTCAATAGCCGCAAAATCATGGAAAGCGGCACAGTAGAAGGCTCAAACGAACTATGACATAAAATAAAAAGTTACATTGTTTAAATGGGAAAATTCGCAACTTTCCCACGTGATATAAAAAAACCTGGGTCACATTTTCAAAATCTGAATAAAATGGCCTCATTTAGAGCTAATTGCCTGTCGATAGCCGTAAAAATCATGAAAATCGGCTTGGTAGAACGCTGGAACTAAGCGTCACAAGATATGCAATTTTAGGAGGTCTCGGAGCTTATAGTATAGATAATTATGATCAAATGTGCGCTACGGTACTCAAATTGCTAACACCGTCTTTTTTCCTTTTCTCTTCTTTTTAAAGGATACCACCAATTTCTGTCGAAGAGGCTGCAGACGCTACGATAAATGGTATCGTGACAAACAAATTCGAATTCACCATCCCAGGACACCATTACTTCTGGACCCTCCTGCTCAAGTAAGACAATGAACCATTTTGTTAAACAAATGCCGAGCCCTGAAGCGAAAAATTCTCGTGATGATTCCTTAGATAGTTGCTAAAGTCCCGTTCGATCACTCAGACTACTGTAAAAAACTGATCGAGTAGGGCTTTCTTGAGAACTGCAGCTAACAAAAAATTTCTTGCCTAAAATTAGCGATCAGATTAGCAGAAAAAATAATTGTATTGCTGGAGTGTGAAAAAAAGTTGTCACCCTCGCTGAGGCGTCTCAGTTGGACAAAAAAGGTGTTCGAGTCACTACCGACGGACAATGACACTGGTAAAATGCCACTGGCGCGAGATGAAATGAAAAATTAAGTAGTGAAGAGCTAGTGAGAGAGTAGTGATGATTTAAAAAAATGTAATCAAGCAAAAAGGGAATAAGGTGAGCCAAAATGTGTAAGATATGGAAAAGCAAGGGAGAAACAACGGGAAACAAGGCTAAAAATACAGCACTACAAACTCGAGACGTTTTGACTCAAAACTGAGTCACTCTCAGACAGAAAATAAATTAAAAATCAAAAAATATCGAAGGATGGGTCTCGAGTTTTTTCTTCGATATTTTTCAATTTTTAAATTATGCTCCGACTTAAAATGACTCAGTTTTGAATGAGAACGTCTCGGGTTTTTGAAGTTGTATTTTTAGCCTTGTTGCCGGGTTTTCTCCCTTGTTTTTTTCATGTTACCATAGTTTCGGGCTGCTTCGTGAAAAATTGTCTCTATGATCAAAATGTATAAGCCCCCTGCATTAATTTGAAAATCAAGTTGTACATAAATCCTTTCTGCTCGGTGGCGTGTAACTGTCTTTTGAACTTGCCACACCGTGGTTTTTATGTCAGGAAAAAAAAAGATGAGATTACGTTTCACTCAGCCACAGCTCATTTTAGTGGGGCCGATAAGTGGAAAATATCATAACAATCGTGCACTTCTGGAAGAAAGCATGAAAATTTCAGGGATTCATCTCTACCCTATAGACTTTTGATTTAGACATAGACCCCGGCAGGGGGGCCCCCAAATTTTGAATTTTGAATAACTACTGAACGGCTAATGTTAGCGTAATTTTTCTTTAACAGGACGATGGGAAATTTTATTAGGAACAAAAATGATTCTTATAAATTTTTCTGTCGGATCGATATTTAAGGCTCCAGACGGGAAAAACCATCGGGGGACGGGGAGCCGGCCGTTCTGATGCAGATCCCCGCGCTACGCTGCCTGCCCGGGACGCGCGCCGCGGCGCAGTACGGTGTTACCGACGACACATCCGCTTGTATTGGTTTAATCTCAACGATGCGTGGTTTTAAAAATATTATGAATTTACCGTAATGCCTAAATACTTTGCCTTAGTAATATAAGCCCCACTTTTTATTAGTAATATATGAAAACAAGCAAAAGGCGAAATACTCCAATGTGAGAGCGCCGAGTCAATGGGAGGGGTCCGTTATCGCGCATCACGCGTCTTGTTTTCTCTGAATACAGAGCTTTTCCGACCTCAGTACAGAGTAAATTACCTCTTCCTCACGTAAGATTTGTAAAAAATTACATTTTTTTAAGATATTAGAGCGACATAACAAGTTTTAATACGATTTTGACCCACTTTTTCATAACTATTGGAAATGACGGATCCTTGATAACTTAATTTAAGCTTATTTTTCATGTTACTTTCGGCGAATGGGACCATGAGCTGCTTACGTAAGCAAGAATTTCGAAAAAGTTGATGCAAAGGCATTACTTGAGGAGTGTGGAGAGGGTGGGGGGAGGGGGCTTCACAGTCCCTTCGCCACTAAGGTTACCAGATTTCCCTCTCTTTCCTCTAATATCGTTTTTCGTCCATGTTAAATGGTTTCTCGCAATTGCATAGGTACTGATACATACGGAACATTCCGACAATGTTCTTTTCTCCTCTTTTCCCTCCAACCAGTCAATAGAAGTTTTTATTTTCATGAACTCCCCACTCTTTCAGTCATTCAACAAATATGCATTTTTCAAAAAATAGAAAAAATATATTAAATGAATTAAAAAAAGAAGATATCTGAATACTATCGCTTCTTTTTATCGAGTCACCCTTGAAGATATTATTGGTACTTACCACGAGACATAAAAAATAGAATGAGCAGTACAAAAAATCCATGTATGTTATCTTTTATTTTGTTCTTTGGAGTTTGGAGTGGAGTTGGTAACATTTGTATTGAAAAAAATATTAATATGGGAGGAAATTTATTTATCATGCAGGTTCTGATCCTTTAAAGAACCTCTGAGAAGGACCAGTACCTCAGGAAGAAATTTATTGCATTTCTTTTTTTTCAACCCGCAAATCTCGTACTGATTTTTGATTTGTATGGAGCTCATGGAAGAGTTATAGGTAAGTAAGATGGAGACAATTGTCAAGAAACGGGACTTGCAAAGTATGCAATGCACAAAACGTACACCTCAAACTTTATCGTAAAGTATAGCACTGATCGAATTAGCTTTAGAGATTATCAAAAGGTCAATTTCTGGTCAAAATATCAACAAATCAGTCAAAATCAATAATCAGTAATCAGTTGCAAAATTACCGAGATTACGGGATATCGTATGATGCGCGATTTAATTGATGACATAAGAGCAGGATAGGTTCCCAGTAGGCGCGACTTCCTATCACTCAAATGGACCGTCTTTACAGATTAGCGGATATTGGCGGCTAATTATTACTTAATAATATTCTTTGTACTGTACAAGAAACAGTCCAACAAAGGTTTTATGGGGGTCTTTTATCCGTATCAAGCTTTCTCAAGATTCTTTTGACGTTTTTTTGGAGCAAGTTTTGAAGGTGGTTTTGGTCCTCTTAAAAAAATGCCTAAACGTAGCAATGATGTACCAAAATGTTCCTTAAAGAGAGGAGAATAAACATGTTTTTATGTATGCTTATTTTTTACAAAATTAGGTTCCCTGTCTCCAAAGTCTGGCTGGAAGCCGTCTCCCAGGAACTTTAGGGTATGTAAGCATATTTACATACCATTCTGGTGGCGCAGCACCGAGAAAAAGAAAAAAAAAACACTTTAAAATCATTTTTCAGGTCATCGTGGTATACAAATAAGATTTGTGATTTTTAGCCGCCCCAACCCCCCCCCCCTTCGCGAGACAACTGTGCGTCAGATTTTATTCCGTTCAACTGATGTCTGATACAGTTATTTCGGATGCTTTAATAAAACTTGACAAACCCATACAACAAAACAGTCCGGAACTCCAGCACTTAACCCCATTCTCCTTCTGTTGCCGTGCGCTTTGCTTGTATACCTATATTACCTGCAAAAGTTAAGCCCTATTTTAAGGTATTTAGGCATTACGGTAAATTCATAATATTTTTAAAACCACGCATCGTTGAGATTAAACCAGTACAATCGGCTGTGTCGTCGGTAACACCGTACTGCGCCGCGGCGCGCGTCCCGGGCAGGCAGCGTAGCGCGCGGATCTGCATCAGAACGGCCGGCTCCCCGTCCCCCGATGGTTTTTCCCGTCTGGAGCCTTAAATATCGATCCGACAGAAAAATTCATAAGAATCATTTTTGTTCCTAATAAAATTTCCCATCGTCCTGTTAAAGAAAAATTACGCTAACATTAGCCGTTCAGTAGTTATTCAAAATTCAAAATTTGGGGGCCCCCCTGCCCCCCCAGGGGGCTCAGATTTTTGGGGTCTATGTCTAAATCGAATGTCTATAGGGTAGAGATGAATCCCTGAAATTTTCATGCTTTCTTCCAGAAGTGCACGATTGTTACGCTTATCGGCCCCACTATTTAGCCACGTGGCTAAATGCAACAAAAAATGTTGCATCTTCCCACAGATTCTAGGTGCTATGTGGCTAAACGAAACAAGAAAAATTAGTGTGGCAAACGTGGCAAAGTGCAACAAATTATGTTGCAATTAGCCACATGGCCAAAGGACAAAACCACGTATCTACATTGCAGCGTTACCGAACCTAATCGAAACGAACTTGACCTGACCTAACCTAACCTAACCTAACCGAACCTTACCTATCCTAACCTAAGGCATAGGCGAGCTGCACGCATGTGGTCAATAATTCCTCCAAATACTTTCCAATTAGGAAATTTTCATGTATTTCAGCGTATAGTAGAATCAGTAGTGCATTGGTCACTAGTGGAGGATGGTAAAATTATTAAAATAAAAATTGGTTATTTATACTTTTTAATCTATTCCAGACTCTTAATAAAATCACTTACACTGCAGTAAAATAAAAATTGGAGGATAAATAACAATTTTTTTCGCTAAATTTGATGGGCCATTCCAAAGACTGTGGCTAACTGCAACAATTTTTGTTGCATTTTGCCACACTAATTTTTCTTGTTACACTTGGCCACACAGCAACTAGAGTTTGTGACAATTTGTAACAATTTTTGTTGCAGTTCGCCACGTGGCTAAATGAGCCGTGGCTAAATAAACAGATACCAAAAGATGAGAAAAAATATGATATGATCGCGTTCCATAAATAGACGGAAATGTATAACACGTCGTCTCGGCTTCAGTACGTTCTGGAAGTACGACGCCAGACGCGCGACTTTGCTTGTAACTCCTGGATGCAACTACTCGTGCTCAACGGATGTCCGTGTTGCATATTCAAAAAATTGAAGGCGTTTTAAAATTCTGTGTCCTCGCCGCGATCGCAACAATACTCATAAGACGACAAGTTGTACCACCAAGATTTCGTTCTAAAGGAGTACATGCGAAAAAGGGGTGCCACTGCTGGCGCTCTTTTGGTCACATTATTTATAAATTGATGCGTTTGTTGTGCACTTTATACACGGCCGCCTTAACTTGGATACATTATAAAAAAAATCCGGTTGGAAAATTTGCACCGCTGCACTAATCGCGGTTTCAGGACATTTTGTCAACGATTTTTTGTCCGAGCACCTATTTTGTCCAGTAGTTTACGCCCACACGTAAAATAAGCAACAGTGACTTGGTCCAAGCGTTATATTTTAGTCGGTATGTAAAATTATATTGACAATATGAAAATGACTTTTTGTCCGCGCACCTTTTTTGTCCAGTGGTTTACGCCCACACGTAAAATAAGCAACAGTGACTTGGTCCAAGCGTTATATTTTAGTCGGTATGTAAAATATGGAAATGAGAAATTGAGAGAGAAGGAGGTGTTGTTATGGTTGCTCATTTTCTAAATGAAATGTTATTACTTTCTCCTTTCGAATCATCTTTTTAAATCGTCATTGGTGAACATTTGGTTTTATTTCTATCCTTAAAGTTAGTTAGTTAGTATAATTTTAAGACATTCAGCGTCTCAGGCTATTAACGTCTTTACAGATAATTTTGAAAATGGGAGTATAAATATTGAATGTACAATATACCTTATATATGTATAGGTACTTTTTTTATTTTTTCTTCACAAAATTATACTTCATTTTGAAAACATTTATATTTTTAAAACGTAACAAATATTTGTAAAACCTTTTCCAAGCGACATTAATCTCAATGAGCCGCAGTTCTGCCGACAGAAACTGCAAAAATGAATAAAAGAGGGGGAAAAACCAAGAAGGACGCAATCTTTAGTTTTAACCCATTTGTACATCGATCTTTAAGAGTCAAATATGTCAAATTTTGAGCGTTTCATTGCGCGTGCACCTCGCTGCAGCACAATAAAAGCACAAAATTTAAAAGAAAAAATTAAAGTGCTTTGGAAATCATTGAATTTGGCACGGAACCACCAATATTTAAAAAATACACATTATATTATTATTCTCCTTTGATAAATTGATACATATTTTTCCCCCATCAATTTAAAGGAGAATAATCAATGCAGAGTGTGCTAACATTTCAAAATCATGAGTTCAAAAACGCTGACTATGCGAGTATAAATATTAAAGCCGAACAGAGCGGAGCGGCGTGCTGCCAGCGCGAGAGGCTCACTCGCGCCTACAAACCTAAGTGGATACTTCAAGCATTGTGCAATGCGTGAAGTATCCACTTAGGTTTGTAGGCGCCAATGCGCGTTTAGCGCTGGCCGCCCGCCCGCCGTGCGGCGCGGCTCGCGGCGGCGCCTGAAGCAACTATTTCACAACAGAGGTGTTGCACAGTATTGTACGAAATTTAACGTATTAAGAATGACAGGCATCCTTTAGAAGTACAGATCTTTCCTCGCAAAATAAATCAAGATACTTTATCGTACACAGGAAAAATCTAAGAACCTTTAGCTCAGGCAAATATAGAGGTTTATCCGGTTCAGGTATAACAAGGTGGGAAGTTCTTGGAAGATAATTAAGTCCTTTTACACCAAAGAGGTGAAGAGAGTTTCAGTGAATTTTGTCTCATGGAATTGACGCTCCCCCATTTTTACCAAAACTCTCAACTATATATTATTCTCCGTTGGACCAAACAGACAAAACAAAAAAACAAGCAAACCCTCATTCTTCCAAGACATTATATATTTTCATCCAAAAACGTCGTGAGCAATTGTCGTTTGTATTTAAATGGGGGCCAATTAACTTGGAGTCTCAACTGGCACGTGGACCAAAACTCCCGTGCCGAAGAACGCGTGAACGTAAATTACTGGAAAAAACAGGTGCGCGGACAAAAAATCCTTGACGAAATGTCCTATAACCCTAATCGCGCTACTCTAATAATACTGCAACGGACATTCAGAATTGATAAAAATGTGTGCAACATTTAGACTCGGACTAATATTTAGACTCACGGTCAGAAGTTACTTCACGACAAGTATCGAGGGGTTTTAAGCATGAAATGGTGGCATACTTGGTCAACTGAAATTTTACTTGCAATAAATTTTACCTAAATTTTGGAAGCTCTAATACCAAATCGGTGAAAAAAAGTAGCGCGTCTAAGTTCTTTTCTTGAGATTCAATTTCTTATAAAGATAATTTGTGCAAATTATCTCATAATGAGACATCCTTTTCTCATTTCCAGGTTCCTTCCGCTCAGTGTAAGAGATTGGTTCTACACGATATATTACTGTCGGACGAGTAATGTGACCGAAGAACAGAGGACCGGCTGGAACTCTTATAAAATAATTGATAGAATGGCAAATCGACTCGCAGAGCAACAAAAGGAGCTGATATGAAAAAGCACATCAGAGGATACATGTGATGCACTCACGGTCGTGTCAGGATGGACCGGAGATTGTAGACGCTAATAGTGCTACGTCACGGGTGACCACTATATATTGGCTTATGATAAAATTGGGAGAGGTTATGCCATTTTTGTTATTAGGACCCAATTTCATAGGCGAGAATTCTTGTGGCGACGTCACGACTAAGACTAATAGTTGTAGAAACAGGGTATTCATCCGAGAGTCAATGAATGAGAATAGATCACTAGGAAGGGGAAGAATTTCAGGGCCTCGAAATGAGTTTTCTCGTCAAAAATGAACGCAAAACACAGAGGAACCATTGAAAATTTCCGAAATGAACTTATGAACGAGAAACTGGCGTTTGCAGTTTCATGGCATTGGTCGATTCGAGCATTGCTGCTCACTGAATTGATACCATCGATAAATCGCAAAGCGCCCAACGCCACTGATCAATCGACGAACTATCTTCACATAATAATTTTAGTGATCGCCAAAGGGAAGACTACAAGGTGAAGGAGCCTTGCGCGGTCGATTTCGAACGGAGGAAGAGGTGACTCACAACTTTATCGGGAACTTGTAGGCATCGAGATTATAGTACTGATTCCACTTGTACATACATAGGAAGTGTTGATACAACTGAGCTTTGAGATATCCTTATTTATTTATTGGACGGACATGAAAGAAATATAACAGAATACTTGAGTTTTCTGAAATCCGCGTGTTAGAATGAGAAGTACCGGCTCATGAAGTGGACGTATTTCTGCTAAACGATACTATAGACGAGTAGGAAAGATGAAATGTGCTCTAGAAAGCTGGATAAGAAGCAATGTAGAAGTTTACAAGACGGAACTAAGCGCCAACTCTGCCGTGCTAAGGATAAACGCCGTATGAGCAGGCGTTGCTAGATCTGCTTCGATAAAGCATGAATTTTCGAGAAAATTTGTAAATATTTTTCTTCAAATTTTTCGAAGAATTTCGTTCGTGCTTTGATCTAAAATATATGAAAATTTCAAGGAAAAATGTGAATAAATTTTTTCAAAAATGCACGTTTTATCCAGCTGGAAATTTGGCAACATTCGAATGTTTATACGACGTTATTACGGCAAAACTGCATGCGGCACTCATGAACCTCGAGCGTGGGCAAAGGGCGTTGTGGACAGGGCTCATGATTTAAGGACTCCGGGCGTCAAGATCAGTGGCGTGGCGTGAATTGCGATATATCGATCGATCTGCCATTTAAACCTATGGAAAAAGATCGATAAATAGGGTGTTCGCAGCGAACACCTTAATAATCGATTCTTTACCATAGGTTTAAATGGCATAACAATCGATATATCGCAATTCACGCCACGCCACTGGTCAAGATCCTCGTCCCGGTCGTCCACGCTGACGTCACTGGCGTCTTATAATCAGGTCCGCTATAACATCCCATCTCTATGCTAGTTTTAAGGTTTAAGGTTTAGAAGCAATACGTCCAAGTATCATTCCGTCACAATTTTTCAATATTGAATCTAAGTATTTCATAATCCGATTTTCCATTTCAGAAAAAATTGTGAGAAATAGTATTAACTCGGCTTTTTAATATAACCACACTTCAAAGCAATTCAATTAGCTCCTGAATTCATTCGATACATTTTTCTCTCCTTGAAGCTAAGTAGTTAAGTGGAATAGAGAGTGAGTTTATAAATGAGCAAACCTAGGAAAAATATCAAGGATGGACTGCCGGGCAGTTTCATACCGATGAAAGTCGACTTTTCGTTTTAGGAATTGACAGGTATAGCATGATGGAAAGAATTATCCAATTACACTGATTGAACCAAATTGAAAAAAATGTGCGTGATTCAAATACTATCAAACATTGAAAACATATAAAACGCGTTTTCATTTATTTCAATCCCTTAAAAAAATGTGGCAAACCTTCAGACGGCGGCGAGGCGCTGCGGTTTATGATGCGGGATGCTATCTTTTCACTAGCCAGATGGAAATGTGCTGTTGCGTTTCCGAATTTCACGACGAAAAATATAATTTTTGGAAGTTTTTTCCAACATCTTGGAAGAATGCACGGACAGAACAAAATCAGTGACAGACGACCGTGAACAGGTGGGAATGAATTATACTTCAGAGCAACTTATAATTGCACGATTTACTGATGACTCATAACAATCCAAAAAAAAGAAAAAAAAGAAAGGAGATACCTAGTAGTAAAATATCGGCGGCAATGATGGAGGCAGAGAATACAGAACACAGAGCTGTACGCATGATGTAACCGCAGACGCATCCTATCTAAAATAAAACTTTTTTTTACGGTTTTACTGGTTTGAGCCAGATGCTCCATCCGTGGGGAAGTTTCACAACTTCCGAATAATGATGACCAACACTGCAGCCAGATGGATAACATGCGTTTAACACTCAAACAGTCAAACCTGGCATCCAGACGAAAGAAACCTCGTGGTTTCATCGTAGGTATAGTGATTTGGGAATATCCATTAGCTTTCCAACTTGAAATTTCATACTTTCAAAATATTAGCAAAATATTACAAATATAAGTATACTGTTCGGAAATATTAATAAATATTTTGATAAGATTTTTGACCGAAATTTGAAAATTAAAAAGGGCAATAAAAAAAAAAAATAAAAAAACCAAAAGTCCCCTGATAGTATTCATGTGAACGTATTTTCAAAAATTGTGAAGGAAGGTGAGAATTAAAAATCATTAAGGTAGAAGAAATTCATGAATCATTTTGCTAATATTCTGGCAATATCCCATGGTGGTGGCTGACAATAAGCCCTGACATCACGATTTCTTGTAGTTTTCTGAGAGGAAAAAAGAACCGAAAAATGGCTATTTTATTAAATTCCTTGGTTCTTTCTAATTTTCTTCTTAATAAAAAAGTCTCTCGGCTATTTTCGGAAAGATAGACTTCATGCCGTCGCATTCATACAATTTCAGAGTCGTATTTTTACAGAGAATCTATAAAGTTTTAACACTTATACATATGCTAATTATTCACCTGGATAACAAGTACAGCCCAAAAGGAATTACAGACTTTTTAAATAAAATCGCAAGGGCTAAAAAAAATCCTGAAGCTGTCAAATAATTCGGCAACAAGTTTTTCTGATCACAAAAACAGGATGTGGATTTTTCCTGGGAAATTCACAAATAGAATCTTTCTTTCCATGGATGTGTGACATTTCTCTCTCTCTCTCTCTCCCCCCCCCCCCAAAGTGGCGTAGTTAGTTCGAAAAATTCTTACACTAAAAGTTGGAACGGCGGTGTGAGCTAAACACTGTGTATACCCTTAACTTTCCGTGAAAAATGAATTATTTAAGCTTTAAAAAACTAAAAAAATCATATGATTTCGTATAAATCATATCAAGCATCGATCCACCTGCCGTGCCTATTTTCCCGCCACTTAGGATTCAACGACATCATTTTCCACGTAAAGTCAGAGTAGAGTATCCAGCTGACAGTACGTGTTCCAATTTCCAGAAATAACCTCGAGTTAATCCCAATTTCGAACAAATATCGATCGATAGCCAACGGATGGATCGTCCTACCACATTAAGCTTCACTCTGATTCGCATGCACAAAAACTGTGCAAAAATACATTTCTCCGCACTAAATTCCCCAATTGCACTGGAGATTTCCCGACCGAACTATGCCTGATATTTCTACGACTCCTAATTCCCCGATCGTCCCCAGTTTTCCAACGTATATCCTACCTCAACAAATGCGAGGATTCACACGGCGGGGCGTACAATGTGGTAGAAAATGAGAGTGCGCGACGAAGCGATTACGTTAATGACGCAACGGAAAGCGACGATGGGATGTATTTATGTATGCTAAAAGAAACTAAGTTGCACGCAAACCCTGTCCGTATAGTTCCTTTTAGCGTAAAAACGCTCAATGAAAACAGAAAAGTGAGACGGATTCAGAGAGTGAAAACGCACGCACGACTGATCGCCGCTCGCGCATGCGCGTTCGCCGGCCAGCGCCAGCGTCCGAGACGCCAATGAACTCGCCTCAATGTCACACTCCGCGGTTCCCGCCAAAATACTGTCGTGAAATTCGGTGCCGGAGTTTTAAGAGCGCCCAAAAATCCCTAGTGGTACTAAAAATCGCGTATGGTAGTATCCTTCAAAATTAACGCGTTGAATAGTTTCCTTCACCATTCGCTGAGAAAATCATACTCATATTTAGAAAAAGAAAAATCCCGAATGCCTTCTACCCTAACACTGTTATAAATTGAGGAGTGAGATTCGGTGCCGGAGGTTACATCGTCACCTTCCGGCCAAAAGGCCTGGATACACGCTCAAATTTCCGTCAATTTCCGATCAAAATAATGACAAAAAAGACGGTCAAATTTTTGAAATTTGATGCGGCAGATGGTGCATGCTCGCCAGTCACCATTTGATCGGAAATTGATGGAAAATTGAGCGTGTATCCAGGCCTCAAGCTCCACGAGACGTTAAAAATTTCTGCCACCATTTATTTTTGTCCAGAGAAATCGTTCAATGAAGCTGTCCGAAACTTTCACTAAATTTTCTTTGTGCTGCCGATAAAATTCAGTGAAATTTTAAAACAGATTCTACCAACAATTTGTCTGTAAAAAAAAAAAAATAAAATAGTGGCGGAAATGTTGAAACATCGCATGGCCCTTGTGATACTTAGGCCGGAGGGTGACATGTAGCGCCTTCACCCCTAGTTATTTGACTGCGTAGTAAAATTAAAACCATAAAAAGGTATGACACTCCGAAAAAAGAGCGGATTCCACACCGTAATAGTGTAAGTCACTCCGTAGAGAGCGTAGATTTCACTCCGCATCATGCACTCAGGGTTTTTGGGCGCTGTGGAGACTCCGACACAAAATTTCGTTGCGATTTTTTTAACAGGGTATCTGAAAGGAAAAAATACCTATTTTAAAGTTTTCATTTTTCGAACTTGTTGTAGAGCTCGATAAAAAAGTACCAACTCTGAGTTCAAGAAAACATTTCGGATACTGAATATTCTAGGAGGGCTGTAATTTTTCGACAGGAAAAAGTTACCAGTCGAGCTCAAAATCACGTATACGTTCTCCCTTTCTTGGCAAAATATCGTGCATCATTAAATGCTAGGACGAGTTAGTTAGTTAGTATATTATAAGACGTTCAGCGTCACAGGCTATTAACGTCTTTACAGAGAATTTTGAAAATGGAAGTATTTACGACAATTTAGATTTTTAAATTAAGAGAGGTGAAGAGTTTCAGACTTTTGGTAGTAATATTGGGTTCATCGCATGTAAGTGGGTTTGTATTTCTGTTGATTGTAGGGGAACGATATGCTGACGGATGAGGTCCGAAGTATATGTATACTGCCGTACTAAACTTGTTTTAAATTCCGCTTTGAAACTTTTCTCAAGCTTCCGTAAAAATTTGAGGAAATGATATTGATGATGAAGAATTGGAGCTCTTCGGTGAATTCGACTGCGATTCAAAAAAAAGCGACAAATTTTGTTTTTTCACGAATGAATACGTCGAACTAACGCCGCGCGCCGCCGCCGGTTTCGTACAGCAGCGACGGATTGCGTCGCGTTACTTGAACAACTGCGTGCTGCTCTGCGTGTTGGGACTCTTCCAGTGGCGTGGCGAACTTTGCGATAGATCGATTGATCGGCTGTTTAAACCTATGGAAAAGGATCGATTAACAAGATGTTCGCCACGAACACTTTGCTATTCGATTCTTCAGCATAGCTTCAAATCGGGAGATATCGATATCATTTACGCCTCGCCCTGGACTCTTCGAAAAATGACCAGGATGAAGGTTCATTCAATCAGCTTCGACGCAACAGTCCCGCTACGCCAAGCACGGATTCCAACATAATTGAAGCAACTTGATTGATATGAGGGATACAAGGAAGGCTACGGAACTCCATGCCGTATTCGTTGGGCTTTAAATGCAAGAAAAAAATGTAACCGTCCATGTACTTAAGTAATGCACAGAGTCAAATTTTTCACGGGCGAAATTTACTATTACATATAGTAATTTTATATTATACATTAAAAAACATAGTAATTTTTGGAATAACCACGTACACCCTTTTCAATGCGGCTGAAAACTCCTTGCACGACTCTTCCAAAATTTCGTGGGGGCCACCTTGAAAACAAGAGGGTCCCCGTGCCTCCTGCACTTTTTTTTCGAAGTATTTATCGATGACGGTTCCAAAATGGCAGTCAATCAAAGTCCCGCGAAATCCTACTAGAAAAATTGGAAACCAAACAAACATAAACTGCGTCGTTCACACCAAGATGCAAATTGCCTTAAAACTTTGGTAGTTAGAGGTACGAGTGGTACGACTAAATGTGGGATATGTGTATCATAAGTCTTGGTATAGTAACATCGAGCACCGGTCAAAATTGACCCAGCTTTTGATTTTATCACGTCGCGCGTCGTTTCAATTGTGAAAAGCGCTGGTACCTGTTTGATACCTGCGTACATTTTAATTTCGGTGCTTTGAGACAGATGAGAAGCTAAGTGTCCTTCATTTTCGCGTGATACCACATTCCTACTCCGGAGTTCGAATAGTCACGCGTTTTGTGTCCGCTTTGACTATAGGGTTGAATCGTTGTTTCATAAAGGATTCTATTCAAATTTCCATTGATATTCAAAAACTGGGTGCGTAATTTTTTCAAACGTTTCGTAGAAACACGAGGAACTATACACAACTTCCATACTAGTACTACGGAAAAAGAGAGGGCGATGCAGCTTTGTAAAAACAGGAAAAGAAATTACGCATTTCTTACCTCAATATCGCGGCATTTGCGAAATTTTTCCAGCGGTGAAGTAAAAAGATTAGTAATTACGAGTTGGTCCATGAGTATCGCGGCAGGCGAAAGGCGAAAAGCAAAGATATGCCTTCATTTTAGCATATGATACCGCATGCCTACTCCGGAGCTCGAAGAGATGCACGATTGATTTCCACATTTGGATTGCATTTTGCAAAAAGGAACCAAGAGCATTCTAATGTTGCTAGGATTGAACAACTTAAATTCTTTGTAGAAAATTACTTGCGGCAAATTCAGGGGGCGGCAAATTTTGCAATTTTTTTAAATGTAGGTATAAAAGAATATCGGATTCAGAAAAAACTACTAACGAGAAATGGCAAAAAAATCTCTTATTTCCTGAGGGTATGTAAGTTCTAATTTTGTCGTCTTTCAGTGATACAAGAGACAGCACCTTATTTGAGATAAAAAGGAGAGACCCTCGGCGCGGTGGTCGGCATGTAACACATATTAGCGCCTACAAGACTGCATGAATACTTCACGCATTGCGTCAAACACAGTGCGGTCAGCAGCGGTTGGCGTGAAACGCATAGCGCCTTCAAGACTGCATGAATACTTCACGCACTGCGCCGAACACAGTGCAGTCAGCGCGGCGCACGCGGCAGCGGAACTTAAAATTATTAACCCACATTTAAGTTTGTTCTTTTCTCATTTCTCATAAATAGAATGCATTGTCTACACAGAGAAATGTTTACGGAGCTTAATTTTTGCGCAAAGCTCCGTGACAGGGCTTTCGCAAAAAATGTGTTTAACACGAGTAAACGCGTCTTATGCACTCATGCCCACCAGCACGTTCACTTCATGGTTTTTATTACTGTCTCAAAACGAATGAGAAGGAGGCGGCAAAATACAGGCTGTCCATGTGCGGCAAAATACAGGCTGTCCATGGGCGGCAAGTAGGGAAATCTGACCCTGATCATGACAAAAATTAAATTCACCAACGTGATTTTTGTCATGAGTTCATAATTTATAGAGTGAAGATAAAACTTTTTTAGATGATCAGTTTCTATTTGCAAGGTAAAAAAAGTTGCACAGTCTTAGCGACACTGGAATGCTTGTGGTTCCTTTTTGCAAAATGCAATCCATTTAACGATGCGTGCTTAATATCTACATTCATATACGACAGTATTAGGAGCCAAGCGCCTTCATGTTCTCGTGATACCACATGACTACTCCGGAGTTCGTATAGTTGCCCGCTTAGTGTCCACTTTGACCTGTTGATTTACAAATCCTTTTTAAGCTAATTTCCGTGAACATTCAAAAAGTGCGCATTTCCTCTAGCGGTTTGGTAAAAACATGAGTACTTAGCTATACGTGATTTTCATCTCGGTACCGCGAAAATTTCGCGATTTTCCCAGCGGTTTTAAAATAAAATACAAGAGGATACGTTTTTCACCTTGACATCATAGCATATACGCGATTCTTCCATTGGTTTTGTAGGAAATATGATACAATTACGCGTACATCACCTCAATATCGTGGCAGTTACGCGATTTTTCCAACGGTTTTGTAAAAACATAACACATTAGGTGCGCATTCCGTGATGTCTGGAATTCTTGGCCATGCTCCTTTCCTTGTTTTCCCTTGATTTTTAGCAGCTCATTTCCAAACGAGGAATCAAAGTCGTCTCCCACTTTGCGGGGATTGTCTTGGGGAAAACGATATAACTCTCCAGAATTCCAGATATAAATGTAGATTTTTTTTCATATTTTAAGTAGTGGATTCTTCAGCCAATATTCAGCGTACATATGCAAATTTTTAATTTCAAAACCGTTCCTGATGTTGATATTATCTGGCCAATGAAAGATTCTCTCACTTTGGAAATGGCAAAAGAGCAGTTTTCCCCAGACCGACTCAAAAGTGGATCGGGAAAATGCCCGGCTCTGCGCCCCCCCACCCCCCGCCTCATTAAGTTCTTAGATACTTAAAATTTACATTACAATTTTGAAATTCCCTTCCCACAATTTATTTTTGCACACCAATAAACTCAGTACCTATTGTACTTTTAGAAATGTTCGGCAAGTAAAAGGGTGAAATTATAGTCTTAAAGCAGAAGAGGAAGAAATTTCAGTTTTCAGGGACAGTCTTCCTGGTTTTCCCTGAGATTCTTCATTCTCTGATGAATACCAGATTTTCCTGGTATGGGCAGCATGCACTAACCTGTCTATGTATTAGGTAGGAATGTCATACCTAAAATTCTGTTAGACAATTTTAATAGATAAATTACAAAAATTACAATTTTTCATCCTGGCAGGACACTTATTTCAATTCTAAAACGTTTATGATCTGCCAGCTTGTTGCTTTTTTGTGTACGTTCACTTTAAATACCTATTTTAAGTAATTGCTTCCAAGCTCATGGTTCCTTTTTCGTACATGATATTCCTTTGGTACCTAGGTTTACTTTAAACCAGAAGTCAATCTTCTACTCTGACTAAATGAAGTTTAAAAAAATCGCCCCTGGTTGTATTTTGAAGACAGAATGAGTCGGAAATAATTTTGAACTCATTTTCCTAGTTGTAAATTTTCTCTTGCCAAAAATTCAAAGTTGAAAAAAATTATTTCGAGCAAGAGAGTAGTTGTTTAGCTTTGTCCTTGGGTAACATTGAATCTTAAGAAGTAAAACTTTAAGCTTCTTTTTCATATTTCAAACTTGATGCGACTTGGTATGTTCCTGTTAAACTCTGTCCAATTATTGCCCAAAAAACTCCACTGAAAATTTGGAATTTTGCGCCAGAAGGAGCAAAAAAAGGTTCACAAGTAGGAAACGCTTGCAGTATAGAACATAAAATACTCAAGGACCCCCTTGAGTATTCAATCATATTTATTCATAGGTATTTAAAAAAAATGATATCAGAATTAAAACTCCGCTCATAAGCAAGCCAATAAGGGTTGGAGTAGAAGATGAGGTGTGGTTCCAATGTAATTTTCCAAGAACCTGGATTAAATGCTAACTTATACACTAACACCTTAAGTGGGGCCTCAAGCCCCACTAGTCCCGCTAGGTTTGAGAATGCGAAGTTTTTAGAAAACAAAATAAAACTTCAACAAAGCTACGGCTACAATATGGCTTTCTTCAGGAACAAACTGGAGGCTTCAAGGAGGCTCATCACTGGACTTGTTGACTATTACGTTCCGAAAATTTTCAGCCCAACGTTCTTTGAAGGTGACTGATTAGATTCGAACACATCATGGATCAGATCTTGAGAGTTTCAAGGAAATTTGTGCAGAACTGACTGAGATATCAAAGAATTAATGCCAGTGTGAGAGCACCAGTGAGCAGAGAAGAGTCTGTATTTCTGAGGCCTCTCATTTCTTACTTGAAACCGACTTCTTCCCAAAAGAAGGAAACACACTTACATTAAGGTGATTTGATGGATGCCGTATTTTGGGTCAGAACAGCATGCGATATATCGCATGTGGTTTTGACACAAAATACAATGTCCATCAAACCACTTTAACGCCTAAGACGCCAGCCGCGGGTAACAACTTTAAAAAAAGTGATAGTTAAGAAGTTAGACATTAGCATAATACTGCAAATCTGAAAACATGTCAGGCCAAGGATGTGAAAGGGACTCTATCTTACCTTAGAAATGGACTTGATGCTCTGATCACACCTTACATACATGGATGGGTATAATCCGAATGCAGATATTCATGGTGCACTGATTTAATTGTGGAGAGGAACGATATTTTGATAGATCAAACAAGTATTAATTTTTAAAAAATTACTGTTGCTGAGGAGGCTGTCCTGCAAAAGCTCTTAACTTTTAACTTTCACCTCATAGGAGTAACTTCCATTATTGATTAAAATTTAACTACCAGACGTACATCAGGGTAAACTTGAATTATTTCGTGAAATATAGCAATAAATATTCTCAAAATTACTAGGAATGAAAAGCTTCAACTGTCATTTGACATGGATATGCCAAAGAAAAGCAATTCAGAAAACACCCCGAAGCTATTCCTACTCCGGCCAGCAGCTCACGCTCACGTAAAGCAAGGGTTGATGACAGAATAAACTTTAGGGTCAACCAAGAAAGGCATGCCACAAATAATTCACGCACACAACCTTTAATGCAAAAATTATATTGATATACAATTAAAATCCTGGTCTCGACTCTCAAACACGAAGAGAGAAAAGTTTGTATTTATTATCAGACGAAGACGAAACAAACAAAACTGACAGTAGCACCTTATCCGATGAAAAGACTCGCACTTTTTTTCTCACGACTTCCTCTTCCTCATTCCTCATTGGTCCCTTGATGCCTTACAAGACGTAGGATGCAACACGCAAGACACAAACCAATGTAATCTGGTTTATGATGAATCTCTGCTGTGATCGGAGCATCATAAAACGTTGAAAGCTGTCAAAAGTCGAAAGTTCGTGTTTACGTTGTTTATCGCGGCTCCGAACCGAAAGTCGTGTTTATTTTAGCGTCCTTTTTGACCTCTACACATTACCCGGGCCGTGTTAGAGTGCTCAGTGCTTACTTTTTAACCATTCAGATTTTCCAAAGCTTCAAAAATGGCCAAATACACTATTGTTATGGTTCGTCATGGAGAAAGTGAATGGAATCAGAAGAATTTATTCTGTGGATGGTATGATGCAAATCTCAGTCCTAAAGGTAAGACTTGTCACTGCTCACCAACATCTTCAACTTTTAATATTAGCCCTCTATTCAAACTCAAGCAATTCCAAAGCAAGTACTCAGAGATCTCTGTTTTTTTCATCAAAAAATACTCTGAAATACTCAGTATTCTTATCACACAACTCACTCAAGTTGCATCAGATTGAGACGGGACGTAATGAAAAAACTAAAATAACATGACGTATCATCAGCCGAAGTGGGAGACCATGTATCTCTGATCACGAAGTTACATCCAATGTTAGGCTTTATTTTAAAGAGCGACCTACGAGATCATTATCAGACACTTCGTCGTCTCTGGTCTTACTCTGGGAACATGAACTCATCAACCCATGCAGTGGTAAATTGTTCAGTATAACTTTCCAGTGTCGCACTGCTCTTAGACCTACTCAAATCAGAAAGCTTCATATCTGTTTGTGGAGACTGGAGCTTAAAAATACTGAAAGAATATTACTTACCCCTACTCAATTGAAGAACGAATTTCTGCATGACTTCAGACTTTCAGAGAGGAAATCTACCTCTGACAAGATGCCACTAAAATATGGCATCTTCAATCTTTGAAAACCATTCACTAAAACCAATATTTGCAAGATTAACAATGACTAATGATTGACACTTTTCGGATTTTTTCTTAAGGTGTGGATGAAGCAGCTGCTGCTGGAAAAGCTTTAGCCAACGCCAATTTCAAATTTGATATCGCACACACCTCTGTCTTGACAAGAGCCCAGAAGACTTTAGAGGCAATTCTAAAAGGGATTGGACAAGAAGATTTACCAGTGTGTAAAACATGGAGACTGAACGAGCGACACTATGGTGGTCTAACCGGTCTAAACAAGGCTGAAACAGCTGAAAAATACGGAGAAGATCAGGTATATATACTGAAGGCTGTATTTTCGTAAAAAAAAAAAGCGCTTTCAGCTTAGTCAAATGTCAGATCTGGACAAAAATTTTGGATAGTGACACCCCGAAAAGAAAAAAAAGAAAAATTCATAATTATCACCTATCAAAAATTGCTCTTTTTTCATGTGTTTTGGTAGGTCATTAAGTATCAAGTACCCAATTGGGATTCTAGAAAAAAGAATCTGTGAATTTTCATCTTTCTGGTCTTGTGAAATTTGAAAATGTCAAGGAATTTGTTCCTCTGAAGTCTGTAGGTATTTGGTGTTCATCCTTCAAGCATTCTTCCGCATTCTTAAAGTACCCTACCCAAATTTTTGAGATCAAATATATGAGTCATTTTATGAATTGAAGACTGCTGAGAGATGAGGATGTTAGATGGGACTTAGGGTAGGAAATTCAGGGTAAGAATGAATCAATAAAATTCTAAAGCAGGTGGAAAATTAAATAGTTCAATTCATCAAGAAACCAACCTGTGTGGGCCAGTATCAAGAACACTAGCGAATTCATATTCCATCATGATGGGATCAATTGATATGGATTCATTGAACATTGAATCCATTTATTGGATCTAATGAATTCATTTAAGTATGGGTCCAATATGATTCCATTATAGGGAAAGAAGTTATTATAGGGAAGTAAATTGTTACAACTGAAGTATACTTTTTAAATTGTTTCTGCATTTCTAAGGAGTTATGTTTTCCATTCATTTACAATTCAATTTCAACAGGTACAAATTTGGAGGAGAAGCTTTGATGTTCCACCCCCACCAATGGAACCAGACCACAAATATTACGATGTAATTGTCAATGATGCTCGCTACAAAGATGGTCCACCAAAGGACCAGTTTCCCAAGTTTGAATCTCTCAAACTCACGATTGAAAGAACTTTGCCGTACTGGAACGACACCATTATTCCTCAGTTAAAAGAAGGCAAGAAGATCCTCATTGCAGCACACGGCAACAGTTTACGAGGCATTGTGAAGCATCTTGATCGTAAGTTCAACTTATTGATAAAATTTCTTTGGGTGCTTGGTTCAGCAATTACACAGGTTTGAACCTGAAGAAGCGCTGGTTACATAATTGTTGATATTTTTATAATTTTAAGACTTTTCTGAGGAAAATTCATTTTTCAGGAAATTGGTACATGACGTAATCAAATCATTTTCAAATTCTGCAACTTGTCATCGTCTCATTAGACCCCTGAATAAAATAATTTTCTGGTCCTCTCAAATGTGAAACCAGTTTTAAATTGAGCACTGTGGATGGAATCCTGCCATTTGATCAGAAAAAAATAGACTGTTTTTAGTGAATCATTGAAGCCGTGGGTGCTGAAAAGGCATTTCTTGGTCGCAGTGCCTCAAAATCTCCGCTAACGTTTCATCCATTATGATTAAAGCAAATGTTCGTAATGTTGTAACTTTTACTGAATATCCTTTATGATTTTACAGTACTGACAGCATAAAATTTTAGAAAATTCAGCCAATAGTTTCCTCTGGAAAGTACTAATTAGCATAGGAGATCCTGGAACACGGAACCAAAAAATGCCCTTTTTGCACCCAACGCCTCAATTAAGGGTGATTTTATTTTGAAAAATAAAAAAAATTTCACCATCAGCTGGAACTAGTTTGGAGCCTGGTTCTGGGCCAGTAATTCTGGTTCCACTCCTGTCAAAGCCATGGTCCAAGTTTTGATTCTAGTTCCGATTCCACTGAATCATTCCGGGTACCTACTACTTTTCAAGATTCCGTTCGTTAAGTACCTTTAGGTACTTTTGAACAAGAGCTTATTATCTCCTCAATTATTTCAGTTTAGAGGTGGTTATGTATAATGGTGCGTAGAAATGATTATTACTTAAGAAAATTTTAAAAAAACCGGTAAAGACACTTTGTCCTCCCATGCAATATCTACTTTAAGATGTATGTGTACATGTCATATTTGTTGCATCAGGAAAATCCTGTCAAGGAACTGCAAGCTCTGATTAATATTTTTGCTTATTGTGAAAAAGATTAACAATTTTGAGCTCATGTCTTGTTTTTTGATGTAGCTTTTTTCCCTTGTTTTGGTTTTAGAGCTAACAGATGCAGCGATCATGGAACTGAACCTCCCCACGGGTATTCCATTTGTTTATGAGCTAGACGAGAACTTCAAACCTGTTGTGTCTATGAAGTTCCTGGGAGATGAAGAAACAGTGAAGAAGGCAATGGAAGCCGTCGCAGCCCAAGGAAAGAAGAAGTAAATCATTCCATTTTCCAGACAGAGTCAAACTCTGCCAAACTCTCCTCAGGCGCTTGCTCCCCATTTTGTTAGCTCCGTACCTTAATTGTGGTTCTAAATCACTTTTCTGTTTGTATGTACTCTTAATAATTGCATATTTTAATTGTTTTTGTTCATTGTAACTAGGCGATGTAATCACCACTCTTGTCAAATGTACCCCTTGTGATCTGAAGTATTCCTGTCAAAATAAATTTAATTTATTTATTTTCAATTGCCTTTAGTCCTCAATCATCTTGAACAATTAAATCAAATGAATAGGATGTTCCAAAAGTCTGGTCACAGACCCGTAGATGCAAGAATCAATATACGAAGGCAGTGGCTTGTTAGTGTGCTTTTTTAAATAAATTTTCAGCTTCTAAACTGAACTTTGTTTGCATATTCTACTACTTTCTCCTATGGATCTGCATCCTCAGAAAAATTTCCTTAATGTGCCATTATTCTTGATTATCAGAAAAGAAATGGTACCTAAGCTGCAGAACAAATATGTAACAAATCGAATGCTAACATCGCAAAGATATCAAGGCTGATTTATTTAGAAAATTACAGTTTTTTTAAGCAAGTGGAGACATCAGTAGAAGCTTATCACGAAGTGTCCAAAAATCATGAAATTAAACACAAGTCACACTGTGTTTTGACAAATACACATACTTTTGGAATGTCCTTCTTCCCCTACTGTCCCTTGCTCAGATAAATTTTACTAGGCTTTTCGTAGAAAGCAGCAGCTATCTATTTCTTCCGATAACTTATTAAAATCATCTCTTTAATGTACGAGTAGCAAGTTAGGGAGAGAAAATATTACACACAACACTATGAGTGACAACTGGAGAGCAAGCACTGAGCAATGGTGCTCTAAAAACTCAAAAATGAAAACTGGAAAATAAAAATTGAGACTTAACAATTTAAAAAAATAAAAGCAGCTTTCAAGAGTTCTTTTTTTAAAAGAATTAAACATCTTTCTTTAAAAATAGATAAGATTTTCATTTAAATAGAATTATTAATACATGAAAAATTAACAGGAGGAGATTCTACATTGTTTCCCATTCAGATTTTTGACGTTGAAGCTTAAAAAATACCCAACAGACTAAGAACGCTTCTAATCCTAGGGATACAAATCATAAAAACAAATAAATATTGTCTTTTCTCCTTCTGCACATTTTCCTTCCTAACAACAATAAATTTTGACTGCTTAATACATAGAAAAATAAATTGCAAAGGAATCCAGAAATCTGTTATGGAGATGTGCGTCCACACTGATTTCCAATTTTTATCATTGTATTAAACTCGTCTATAGATCCCGATCGATAATTTGAGTTGCGGCAAGTTTGTACAAGCCACCGATCTTGCACAATTTGCAGTTGAAGTTGCGATGCTATTCATATTAAATAAAGCCAGCATGGCAACGATAAGTTAGGAAGATCCTTCTTCCTTTCAACACTCAAGGATGGGTTGGCTGCAGTTCGCGGAAATCCGAGCATGTATTTGTCCAAGCAAAAACAGAGACTCCCAGAAACTTGACACAATTATGACTTCTTATCAAGATCAATAAACAAGTTCAATGTGATAAAAAAATGGGAGACCGGTGTGGGCACTTATTCTCATAATTGGTTTGCGGGATCCTTTTTCCACTAAGAAATGGAATGCAATAAGTTGGCAAAGGCAGCGACTCAATTTGAATTTTTCCTATTAAATACTCCACTTTCATGAAAGGATTTTTGTTTTTAAAATACATAATCAAAAGGTAGGTTCCTTTGCAACAATCAACAAAATAAAACTATTTAACAAGCGAATATTTCGCATCTCTATCAATGCACATAAGTATAGATTTAAAACTAATTGAACAAGCTAAAAAAAACCGATGCTTAAATAAGATTCATGCTTTACTACATCATGCATTAATGCCATTTTCTTTGATTGATGGCTGATGATTCATTTTTATACTCAGAGGCTTTACACTATTCCTCTCTGCTACAGTAGATATTTTCTATAATGCCATGCTTAAAAGTTCAGCACTCTCGTCTAATAACATGTGAAAGGAAGTTTTGAAATCCTAAAATCAAGATATATACTCTGATGGTTTCATTACCAAGATCATATGACTTTTTAGGGAGGCTTTGAAAATTTACTGGTAGTTCTATTAAAAAATCTTTAAAAATGGTGTTACCAAGCAAAGAAATAACATTTTACTGACACAATGGTATATCTTTTTGTCAAATTTTGTCTACTCATATTTTCAAGACCTTTGAGAAAATGCAGGTCATTTTTTTAAGCAAAATTACAGGTGCGGTATAAATTAAGGTTGCTACTTCATCGACTATTTCACTCATTCAGAGAGATATTATTTTAAAAGATAATATATTGATTAATATAGATTGATGTAAGTGATAGCCTAGCAAAAGGACACCAAAATGTGTTGAAACAACGCAATGCATTATGGCAATATTTTTATGTGTGGTCCGCAGGTCGGGTAGACGGAGCCCATTTATTTCACTTACTCAAAAATGAAAATCACAAAAGGTGATATCTCATGGTCTCTGCTAAAACTGATCACGCATAATTTTCGCTTTTGTAACTGCCGGAATTTATTTTGTTCTATTGCAATTTAAGATAATCAAGAGGAGGACTGCCTGCAACAGTGCAACACAAAACTAAGAAAAAAAATATAAATGGAAGAGATGGCTCTTACAAACAAACAAGAGACGAAAGGAGACAGAGCTTGTTTAGGACCAATATCTGTAATGTACTGCAATAAAATAATGAGATGTTGCTAAATCCCTAACGAATTCTTTTCGTGAAATGACTTTAGCTTTGGAAACACAGAGCTGATATCAGAGGATATGTATGTACAAAGGTTGACTGAATTTTTTTTAATTTCGATTTTTAAAATATATCGTAACTAGAAGTAGATTTCAATTTTCGGAAATGAACAATTCCAAATGTTGGTTTATACATAAAACCGCTGTAAGTATTTAACTGGAAAAAAGAGAGAATTTTTTGACAGAAAATTCAATTCCTACAAGCTAACACGGAAAGATTTTCAGCCTAGTGCACTCAATTTATTAAGCTTGCTATGAAGAATAGAGGAAACATTACCTGCAAGCATCGGTGGTCAACCTTCACTTTGTTCGAGCATTCGAATTTGAACTCTTAAATCAATAATTGCTTCTCTTTCTTTTATAATATTCTTCACAAGGTTCATCTCTTGGTTCTCTAAGAACAAAGTTTCTTTGCGCAATTTGGTATTTTGTTCCGAAATATCACATGTGTCTAGATTTAAACATAAATCGACATCAGAGCTTAAACCTGCCTTTGACAAGAGATCTCTCAATTTCTCAATTTCCTTCCTTTCTGCTACAATACTCGTTTTTAGGTCTAGTATCATATTGAGCAACTCCTCAGTTTCAAAAAGCAAAGCTCTGGCTTTCACTGAGTCTTTCAACTCCACAGAATTCAGGTCTTCTGCTAAACTTTCCATTTCTGTCGCACTTTTCAATTGAGGTGCTACTTCTTTCACTTTGTAAGTATTGTCTGTATGCTTTGACAGGACCTCACTGGGTTTCAATGGGACTTCATTAGGTATCAAAGGGACTTCACTAAATTTCACTGGAGCTTCACTGTTTTTTACTAGGAAGTCATTGACTCTGGTAGCCTCTTGCGTTTTTGGTGGGATGTCTGGCACTTTTACTGGACCTTCTTTATCTTTAAGCGAAACTCTAGTCGAATTTTCATTGATTGGTTTTTCTCGTTTCTCTTCTACCTGGCTTGGGGGATTATTATCGGGAAAGCATGGTACTGGTTTTTGCAGACTTAAATTTAGAGAAAACTCATCTTCTTTGATGTTTGGTTCTGTGGGCTGTGACTCCCTTCCAAGCGACCTCAATTTTCGTTTCAACTGTGTAATCATGCGCTGCACTTCCCACAGTTGCTCCTCTCTAGCTTTGCTTACAGAGCCGGTGCTCATTTCAGAATGAATCAACCCTAAGACAGACTCTTGCTTTTTGAGTTCTGATAGGATTTCTTTACTTGTATCTGGCAGAACAGTGCTACTTGGGCTTAAGGGAGGAATGTACTTAACTAAATTGAAATTAGGAAAAAAAACACTAGAATTAATTATTAAAAAGGATAAAATTTGGGAATCAATCTGCAAAAGTGGACTAAAAATTGACGTTACCACAGGTAGCGTCATTTTGTTAAACTTTTCTTGAGCTACAACATGTTTGAGATGAATTAAGAGCCAGTTAATAAACTGTTTATTAAAATAAGGGAGACCATTTACCAAACTTTGAGCAGCGGTGCCACTATTTTCACTGGCACGAAAACTGTTGACTGAATCTGGTGGGAAAACTGGTTCTGGAAGGTCTTTGATGAAAGATTTGAGGAGATTTGTCGCAGTGAAGACATCGTAAGCCATGAGATCAATTGTTTCCCGTTGATTTACCGCTCGCTTAAGGCGATGGATGGTTGACTTTATTGCTGTTGTTTTATAAAGGCCCTCTGTTGTCAGCGACTCTTCGATACGATCCACACAGAGCCTGAAGACAAGTGGCACATCAATGCCATCATGGCACGGGTTCCTTTTTACAGCTGTTTCGAGAGGCACGCCGAAAATGGGAAGTTCGTCTGTAAAATAAATTGAATACAGTCTCACGTTATTCGACGGTAAACTTTAGCATAGAATATCTCTACCCTTTTTTCTCTTGATTCATTCTTCTCATTCATTTCTCCTACTCAGATGACTTTAGTTTCCTTCAGACTAAACAACAGAATTTCCTCTTCGTTCAGCAGTCATCTTATTCAAGTTCCTTCATGGCTCTGGGTTGAGGAATAGGTTCGCTCTTTCACAATTCACAACAAATGCATCCAAATAAAAATTAGGAATAAACAACTGGCAAGGAAATGCTTCGTTTTATTTTGTTCTTTGGAATTATTTAATTCTAACATTGATAAATTGAAATAATTGAAGAGGTAGAAGCACAAAAGACCAATCGGAGGAAGTGATTACCTGCAGATTAGGTTTAGACCCAAAACATGCATTCCGGATCAATGCAACACAAAAGTTGGAAATTGAAGCATTTGTTGGATCTCCTCTCATCCTCATTAACAAAGTTTTAATTTGGTTTATTGATTCAACATTCTTGATTGACAAATTGGTGAGAGAATCAGATTTTTATGTGAGGAGCTTCATCTGCAGTGTATCTTCACCTCTAGAGGCACCAAAAACAGTAATTCCGATGCAGAAATCATTATCATGATAAATTTCTTTAATATTAACTCGGCTGCGCTTGTTAATGTAGTTCTAATTATGTGTCTGATGGTTATAAACACAGTTTTACTAGCAGAGATGGGAGCCAGCGAAATACATGAAATCTGGACATCCCTTTATAGGGAGAACATGTACTACAGGTAGAGATTGTCGCAGAAAATTTTAGTGTGTCCTAACAAGCTGATGAAAGTGTCAAACCAATGCACCAAATTAAAACTCAGAAAATCAGAAACACAATAAATTTACCCCAATAGCTCCAGACAGCTTTAAACTTAGAGGAAGAGAGATTTTGGACTTGGCTGAGTTTCTGCCATATCTTCTGTAAATTTTTTGACTAATTAAAGTGCTTTCTTTAATGATTCTAATTTTTCTATAACATGCCTGGATACATGAAAACTACAACACAAAATCACCAGTGGAAGTGATTGAAACTCATAAAAATAGTGGAGTATTGTAAGTTTTGCAAGAGGGCTGAAAGAATCTGACAGTTTAGAGAATCTACCATAGTCTGTAGAATGTCTGAGGTAGAGTTCTCTAATGTAATGTAAAAATTACTGCGATGGTGTTAAAGGAAACGCAGCATGGCAGTGCAAAGCTCAAGCCTAAGATTTTAGGACTAGGCACTCAATGAGCAACTTTTTGCTCCCTAATGAGGCGCACGAAACAAGGTGAGATAAGTGGTAAAACAAAGGTAATGACATACCGGCAATGTCGCTGGCTCCATCTGAATGTTTCTTCTTTTTATCCTTCACATCCTTTAATTTAATATCTTTTTTCTTTTCCTTGTCTTTCTTGGAGTCTTTTTTCTTTTCTTTTTCGATGGCATCCTTTTCTTTATCCTTGTCTTTGTCCTTCTTGGTAGAAAATTTGAAAGCTTTAGACTTTTTACTTTTCAGTGGGCTTCTGAAAACATTAAGAGGAAAAAAAAGTATAATTCAATGATGAAAAGTCTAATTCCACATGAACCACGCTAAGTATGGACACAAACAATGGTTACAAAAACATATTTTTGAAGAGCCCTTATAGTAATATTTGATTATCAGTAGTAGTATTTACAGAGTGCTTAGAGTTTTGATCAAATGTATTCAGACAGACACTTCTACACTGATAGGTTGTTTCCAAAAATGAAATAATGAAAGGGCAGTTTTAAATGATTTCATACAATTAAATCTCAACATACATTCTCACTCCATGATGGTGTGATTGGTTTTGACTGAAATGTTTCAACTGATGCAAATTCGACAATAATAAAAAACGATTTCATTTATTACAGCCTGACACCAAAGTTAGGTACAGTAAATGTCGAGGGACAAGGACAGTTTGATTATTAGAGAAAGGACCAAAAAAAAGGTAGGACTTCAACATGCGTTAACAGGCATCATCATTCCTGATTCCCGACTCCTTGACTGTGGTTAACTATTCCAATTGACATGTAATGATTGTGCAATCAGTGTTTTTTTCTCGGTTTAAATGTTCCATACATGCGAAGCACAAGAATCTTTGTGGAATTTTCGAGAAGAAAACCTTCAAAAAGGTATCAAGTACCTAGATTCAAGAAATCAACACTAAGAAATGGCCCACGATGTATGTGACAAGATGGTAAAATGGTGCTGGGTCCACATTTCTTGCAGGGAAAACAAAGCCAAGAAGTTCAAACATTTTAACTAGAGCTCAAAATTTTAGACTCAAAGTAGTAATTGGAATTTGTGAACACTTTAGCTTTGTTTCATTCGCAAAATGGCGTGGACCCAGCACCATTTTACCATTTTATTACCTAGATTCACAGATGTCTGTGTATGCATATCAGCAATCTTTAAACCTGATAAAGAAAACTATTGGATTGACCTTTATTTTAGGATCATCATTGGACAAGCTTGTAGTAATGGGATGCGGCTACTACCTTTTAAAATTTTGAGATTACAAGTTAAACAGCAAAACTTACTTGATTTCAGCGTCTTCATCAACTGAACTTTCACCCTCTAACGTTGCATACCTCAAGTCTTTTTCCTTCTTCTCTTTCCTTTTCCCAATCAGCAACTCCTTCTTAGATGGTTTCTCATGCGATTCATCACTGACTGAAAATAATAATTAATCATCCGTAATACAGGGGTTGGATACATTTTGGTTTTAAAAAGCTTTGAATACTAAAAAATTACTAGACTGCTGGAAAACATGCTGATGTGCGTCCCGGTCATGGTTCATGCATGATTTTTGTATACTTATAAAAAATAAAAATAAAACAAATAATAAAAAAATAAGAGGAAAAAACTTACAATACACCACAAAAATCTGAGAAAGTCTGTAATTCTTTCAACTACTGTACTAGCGCCAGTTGAAAATGTCGTTAAATCAGAAGGAAAAACCACTTGGAGTGGTTCAAGTTAGTTCAACAGATTTCCTTCACTTCATTATTTGATAACAGCTTGACATTAGTGTCACATCAGATAAAACTGGGCTTGGGTAGATTTACACATTTAAAGTTTTTCCAACACATACTTTTCGCCAATTGGAAAATAACTGAAACACCAATAAACCCTCAATTTTTGGGAATATTTCCAACAACAGAGACTTTAAAAGTGGAGAAAAAAATTAATTCAGTTGATTTGTAGAGTACCTAGACTAAAATACAAATTTTAAGGAGTCTTCTGTGACTGTCTACTTTTAGAAACTGCAGACATACACAGTCGGTGTATATTTGAGCTTGGCATTCTGCATTGCAAGTAGGTTGATTGAGCAAGAGAGGAAACATGCAGTTAGAGTTAGCGTTCATTAAGTTGACATTTGTTTACTCTTGACCATCATGAGCAATAGATTGTTTTGGGCATTCATACAAGGCAGCATTGATGCCCTTGGGTGATACCCAATCACTCTAGGATGGTGGCAGCACAATTGTTTGCAAACAGAAGGTACACAAGTGTCAACTTGTCTGATGCTGGATTGGTTTTCCTATGCATCCCCAAAAAATCTCTGACAAATGTAGTTTCAACTGGGAATGAGTATCAATTTCAAAGGGTAATCATGAGATCAAGGAAACAAAGTTTCATTACACATTTAGTGCATTACACTAATCTACTATCAGTACATATACTTACAGACTTATACTTAGGATTAATGTAAACAAACCTAATTTCTGGCTGCACTTGAAAGAGTTGTTGGGCATCGCAGCTAAGGACTGGCACTAGAATCATGCAGGAGGGTAACAAAACATGCAAAAAAGGGATGCAGGAGACAGCTTGTAATCTTACAGTCACTTTCGTTGCTTCTTCTTCCTGACTCTGAGGCGTACAATCCAGGAAAGTCCTTTTCAACGTCTGGACTTTCAAAATCCATTGAGAGCTTAAAGCTGCGATGAACTGAGAATTGAATTTCTCATTGAGAGTCAGAGAATATATTGAAAAGTTAACATAGAGAGGCAGCAAAAATTAATTTGTCGCTAAGTACTTTTAAAAAGCCTGAGTGGCAGGTTCCTAGTTCCTAACACAGGTCACATTGATTTTCTTATCAACTAAAGACTTGGCAAAATTTGAAATTGCCTGGCAATTGACGAGGGTGATATAAAGATGGATGAAAACTTAGTTTGGGAAAATTTCATCATAGTTCACTTCAGATTTTCATGAAAAACCACGAATTTAATTTCTGTTTTTACACCAACTCAACAACATACAAGAACCAAACATAACCTCTTCTCCAGTAACGTAACGAACTCAACAACCACCGGTCTTCAGTGACAGGGTGAAATCCGTTAGCCGCATCATCGTTGCTGAATCACTGCAGGACAGTCGAGTCAATTGGTATGTAAACAAACCAATGTGAACAACAAGTTGACCAAGTGAAAGAAACGTCATTACAATTTCTTACTGCTCTGGAAGGAATTGCTTTGTGAATATGAGAATGTAATTGTCGGCAGAGCTTTTTATTTCTCGAGACTAGTTCTGTAGTTATCTCTTCCTGAAATTAGAGAGTAGGTGTTTTTACATTGGCGCTGCGTCCTTCTTGGTATTATCGCATCCTGATCATCTCATCTTACCCATTCCCTAGTTTTATAAATAATCTCAGTCATGAGCTTAAATGGATATTTGCATGAAATTGTAGGGAAAGTTGAAAAAATCATCTCCTCCAATGAAGCAGAAGTCAGTTTTAAATGGAATAACACTCAAAAAATTGGAACCCTGGCAAAAGATAAACTTCAAATTGGTTGTAGGCCTGTGAACGCTAAGTTCATTTCAGACTGTGTCCATGTTGGAAGTAAGATCAAGTTCGTTTGCACTAGTCCTGGAGCAGCAACTCCTGGTGGGTAAGTTATTCGGTCCTGATTCTATTTTATGTACCTGAGGAAAATGCAATACCAAATCTGGAAGTCTATCGAGAACCCACGTCCAGTCTATAGAGTTTCAGTTCAATAAAACTGTAGAAAAGTACTGACATATTACAGGAGTGCCTATTAAGCTCTAAGGAGAACACAACTCTCTTTATCATAGTACTGTTCAACGATATAGAAACTGGTATCATCAGTAATTTTACTCACTTACTCCCCTTAAAAGATTCTTGTCACCAAAATAATCATTCTTCAAGACTGTGAAAATCTGTTGAATTTGTCCTCAATTCAGGAGATATAAGCAATTATTAAGAATATACTCCTATCTCTGTTGAATCCTTTAATTTTGCGTCTCTATGTGTTTTACTTGATCCCTGTTTCTTTTTATCTAGAACTCCACTATGCATCCTAAGAGCATGGCGAATGGAGGAAGGTGACATTGGATATCCCACTTTCGGCTTCCCAAACATTGTGCGACCGGGGTTGACAAATGCTTATGTCACTGTCAATGAAATTTCCAAGAAGCTTGCTATTCTCATCTACAAGAATGAAGAGGGTTTGTTTGTTTGTTTAATACTGATTAGAATTACTTAGAATTAGAAATTTGTTCAAAAAGAGTACATGCAAAAATGCCGTAAAACAGTAGTTCCTCCCCCAAAATCTGAAGCTTGTGTGGGGGAGTTACATGCCTTTGGAATATATATATATAAAAAAAACGTAAGGTAACTGCTTGGAAAATTAAAGACAACAATGTAAGTCGTAACAAGACATACACGAGGACCTACTCACTGTTGTGGTCTTAAAATTGCACTCTGTTGAAAGACTTCATTCTATTGCATTCCTTTTTTCTGTACAAGTTTTGATTTTTTTCGTTTTCTGCTTTGATAATTTTTATTGAGAAAGTATTGGTGGAAAAACGTCAAGGACCCTTCTGACACATCATCTTAAAAATTCTGCAACAAAAGCAATTTTTTACTCAGAGAGCCATACCATGTAGCGTTTTACAGCTGAAAGTTCAACCCAGAGCTCTGTGCAAATTGCATCTCAATAGAGCGCTCTCACTGTAAGCTCAGAAACGAGAAGTGTGCAGTTGTTCTGTGATACTCCATTTAAGGACAAAAAGGTTAATGAAACTCTCGAAAAATCAACTTAACTATAATACTTAACATGTTACAAAAGAAGCGATAAATAACTAATTAAAAATCTATGGTGGCGCTACAAGACTTCTTTAGGTACGCACATTTTACGTAGAAAAAGGGTTTCCTTCCTTGCAAATTTTAGCAGATTTTATATGGATCCTGAAACTCCTTCACCATTTATCTCTGTTTGCAATGTTGCAGACTTCCTGCTATACTTCATTTGTTAAACGGAGAACTACTCTTGTCAATTCTTAAAAACTTTCATGATTTTTTCCTTTCAGTGCTAAGCAAATTCGCTTTTTCGCATCAAAAAATGATATAGATGCAGCTAGCTGACTTTGTTACACATATTTGAATGTCCTCATTTTTTTTTTTAAAATGGAAACTTACCTGATACCTAGTGTAGTTGTTTACTCTTTGAATTTTTTTTGCAGGAAAAGAAGAATCTGTTCTCATGTTGGCGAGTAAACTGTACATTGGGAAGAAAAGAGTCAACGGTAGCTTGCTCCAAGTTATGACAGAAAGTGACTATTTTTTCTGTGATGCAGTACCTGTGATTCCATCAACTAATGATCAACATTGCTCATGGTTCGCAGTTTGTGTGTGGCGAGGCAAGAAACCAGCCTACTATGATGAAAAAAAGAAGGCTGTAACTTTCTCGGAGATCACCCAAGAGGTTAGTTTTCTCGTGTACATTTGTGAAACATTATCAAAAAATAGATGGCAGGTTAGATTCTCTTCTGCAACATTGCTGTGCACTTTTACCTCCGGTCTTTGACTTTCACAAACTAGGTAGCTCAGTTAGTGCACTGCTGTTTTTGACAAGCTCACTGCGAGCTAATAGCAAGGAAATATTTCCACCAATAATTGGCAGTTTATTTTTTACAAAACTGGTCAAAGCTCACCTCAACACAGAAAAGAACACAAATCTCTAAAGCTACTTTGCAGACACAAGAGGAATACTGTATTTTATTATGTATGGTTTTTAAAATAATGTATTTCGATGGCCAAAGTGTGAAACCTTGCATCTCTGTTCGCAATGTTGCAGACTTTCTGTTGTACTTTATTTTTTCTTCGGAAAACTATTAATGTTATTTCTTTAAAATTTCCCTGATTTTTCTTCTCTGTCGGTAGAACATTGAATCAAAATTTCAACCTATATGTGGCTCTCTTCTTAAAAAAATAAAATATGAACGGATATTTTGATACTTCACAATGGAGATAAGTACTTAGCTATGCACTTTGACCATCGATTTGTGACACATGAAATTGATCTGTTTTTATGTAAAGGCAAAATTTCACTTGTGGTAAGGTTATGCTCGGAACTATCCCTGAAGCATATCAGTTTGACCTAAAATTCATCAAAGCTTTATCAAATCTCACAAGTAGAGGTAGTTCAAATAGCACTTTCTAGTATATGCAAATGAATTTGAATTCTAATGCAAATAATTTCATTTTCTTGTAGCTGCTTAGCTCTATTTAAAATCATGGCTGGTGAAAGTTACTTACAGTTATTGGTTTTTAGTCGTGCGGCGAAGCCGTATAGACTCTAGGTTTCGCCGGAGGCTAAAAAGTGTCCACACTTTTAGGCTAAGTCCAACAGGAGAATTTTCGAGGAACCAAGTAACATATGAGGTATTGATATCGGTGCATTTTGGCCCAATGGAGATGTTACATGTGCGAGGAATTTGCAATTTGACTGTTGATTCTTGTATAAAAGTTCGCGAGGAACACAATGGTGCCACTGGTTTTCTCTGAAATCATCTTCCATGCTCAAAAAAACCTCTCGAGTTGAGGCCAAAATGGAGGGGATATCCCACCCTACCCTGAGAGTCCACGTCTACATGAACACAAACTCTCCATGCAAAGATAGGGAGCAAATACATTAGCAGGGTTGCCGTGTATTCAGTTTTGGAGTCCCCAGATAAATTGGTAGCCCTGTCAAAGTATTAGCTCCCTATCTTTGCATGGAGAATAGGT